GTCTGTATACACGACGACTGCATGTGCCAAAAAGTAGGGCTTCAATTTTTTAACAGCCATGAAGAGTGCAAGACCAAATTTCTCCACTAGGGGATACCTCAACTCGGCATTTTTCAGTACATGACTGACAAAGTAGACCGGGAGCTGACAACCGTCTCTTTCAGCAAGGAGAACAGCGCTTAACGCATGATCAGAGACGGCCAGGTACATGTAGAGTACTTCTTTGGGCAAAGGGCTGACCAGCCTCGGCAAGGAATGCAAGTGAACTTTCAATTTCTGGAAGGCGACCTCAGCATCCGGCCCCCATTCAAACCTTGCCTTCTTCTTAATTGCCTGGAAAAAGTATAAGCATTTGTCGCCTGATCGGCTTAGAAATCTTCCCAAGGCCGCCAGACAACCTGTTAACTTCTGAACCTCTCGGATGGTACGAGGCGACTGCATGTCAATGACTGCCTGCACCTTCTCAGGGTTCGCCTCTATTCCTCTCTGATTGATAAGGAATCCGAGAAATTTCCCAGACTCAACTCCAAATACACATTTCTTGGGATTGAGCATGACATGGTGCCGCCTGAGTGTGGCGAAAGTTTCTCGGAGGTCCGACAGATGATCTTTCTGAAGTTTAGTCTTGACAATCATATCATCAATGTATGCCTCGACGTTTCTCCCAATCTGATCAAAGAACACAGTGTTTATCATTTGCTGGAAGGTAGCCGGGGCATTCTTAAGACCAAACGGCATGACCGTGTAACAGTATAACCCCTGATCAGTGACGAAGGTCGTCTTCTCCTGATCTTTTTTCCACAAAGGAATTTGATGGAAACCAGAGTAGGCGTCCATAAAGCTCATCAAAGCATGGCCGGCTGTTGAGTCGACCAGGTTATCAATTTTAGGCAGAGGGTAACTGTCATTGGGGCACGCCTTGTTTAAGTCTGTGTAGTCTACACACATTCGCCAGGTGCCATTCGGCTTTTTAACAAGCACCACATTTGCAACCCAGTCTGGGAAGTAACATTGCCGAATGAACCCTGCATCAAGTAATTTTTTAACTTCGGCGGCTGCCGCCTGACTTCTTTCTTCGCCATGGTTCCGTTTCTTCTGCCGTACCGGCTTCTTTTTTGGATCCACGACCAGTTTATGTACCGCTAGATCAGGACTAATGCCTGGAATTTCATGGACTTCAAATGCAAAGATGTCCTTGTATTCTTTCAATAGTTTGTGAAAGTCGTCACCAAGGTCTCTCAAAGCAGTCGTCCCAACTTTGACTGTTCGATCAGGACGTGAGTCGTCTAAGATCAGGTCCGTATGCTCACCAGCCGGCTGAGGGCGGAACTCATCCGACCGCTCCTCTGCCAATGATTGCTATTTTCTTTCTTTTCTTGCGGCCCCTGTCTGGGATGCCTTTCTCTTCTTGCCGCCTGCTTCTTGAACAGGCGCACTCTCCTTGACATTGTCAAGGTCTTGTTTTTCACCACTTGACCCAGTGGCCATAATAGTGGGCTTGACATCCGAGAGATAGAACTCTCGGGCCATCCTCTGATCTCCCCTTAGGGAGCCGACTGTTCCCTTATCCCTCTCAAACTTGAGCAACATAAGAGATGGGATTATAACAGCCTTGGAATTATTCAGGGTTAGTCGTCCCAGAATCATGTTGTAAGCCGAGAGTTCTTCTACCACCAGGAACCGAACTACCATGTGTCGTCCTTCCCCTTTTTCGCCCAGGCGGATGGGTAAATCAACTCGTCCCAGTGGGTGGACTCCTCCTCCTCCAAACCCTACTAAAGGGTGGGAGGCCGGATGTATGCAATCAGTCTGATATTTTAGTTTCGACAAACATTTGCTACTGATGAGATCTGAGGAGCTTCCGGTATCTATGAGGATTCGGCCAACTCTCTGGTTGGCCACTTTACATTCAATAACGATAGGGTCGTCATGCGGCCCTCTTACCCCTCCTAGATCTTCTTTAGTGATGACAATCTCAGGAAATGAATATTTGGACGGCCGTTCTTGGTGAACGGAATTTACATCTAACCGTCTGATATTGGCTTTGTTGCCCCTAATAGTGGGGCCGCCTCCTGAGAAGCCGCCTGCAATGCTGTAGACGACTGCATCATCTGTATCGAAGCTGTCGTCCTGTTGTTTCTTTTTGGCCGACTGCTTTTTTGAGGAAGTGTTCCCCGTAGATTTCTTGACATACGTGTCAAGATCACCTTGCTCAGCCAGGCGGTCCAGATACCGCATGAGACTGATGCAGTCATTGGTGTGATGACCAACATCATCATGATAAGCACAGAATTTATCTTGGTTCCGGTTGTTTGCAGAACCCTTCATGGGGACCGGCTTCTCCATTGAGATCCGTCCCTTGATTTCTTTTAGGATAAACTGGTTATCCTTGTTAAACGCATACTTTGGGGAGTATGGTTTGAATTCTTTTTTCTTTTTCTGGGCCGGCTGTTTAGAGGAATCAGCCGCCCAGACCTCTTTCCTTTTCTCGTCTTTGTTGGACGACTGCTTCTGTCGTCCTTCTTTTTTGTCGGACCTTTTACCGTCCGTTTGTCTTCCCGTACTACAAAGATCAGTCGCCTGTATATAGGCTTCCGCTTCAATCAAGGCCTCTTGAAGAGTCGCCACCCTCTTTCGGACCAAGTCAAATTTGAAGGTCGACCCGTCCTTGAGACCTCTGAAAATGTCAGTATAGGCTACCTCATCCGGTAACCCTTGAATCTGTATTCTCATCAGGTTAAAACGCCTGATGTAAGAACGAAGCCCCTCCTTCTCGCCCTGCTGAATTGTTCCTAAATCAAGGGTCGTCTTCTTTGCAGGGATGTTCATGGCGAAGTTGGAGGTGAATAAGTAAGCAAGCGTCCTGAAGTTATTTACACAACCAGTCGGCAGGTTGCCGAACCATTGTTGTGCGATTCCTTTGAGAGTCGCTGGGAAACACTTGCACCAGGTGGGATCATCCAACCCTTGAAGGTACATCAGGTTGGTGAAGGCCATAAGATGGTCTTCTGGGTTAGTAGTGCCGTCATAGGCGCCTACTAATACATTTTTCACTTTGGCCGGCTGAGCGGCTTCAGTAATTTCCTTGGAGAAGGCCGACGGCTGTTCACCAAGTCTAAGCAACCGTAGCTGCCAGTCCATAGGTTGGACATTTTTTTGCTGCATGTCCACCAAACGGAGGTGGCTGCAAAAAATACTGTTGTTGCGGCACAAACGGTAAGTTTGGTACCGCCTGGTCGCTATGAAAGCCGGACTGACGGGAGGTGCCGCCTGACTGACTCTCATGATACGACTGCGTATGCCTCATTGAGGTATTTCGCAGACTGTCTTGGAAGTTTGAAGTAGAGGCCGACTCTGACAATCGGTCACTCTTCTTCTGCTCTAGCAGTAGCCGAGCGTCTGTGAATGTTTGCTTCGACCCGTCCGCCTGAATATGACGAACAAGTTTCCTATTTCTTGTAAGGAAAACGGAATTTTGTGAAATCAAGGGCAGGTGGCTCCCGCTTCCTAGATTTAGGATGAGGAGTCGCCTCTCGCCCTTGAACTGGCTTCCTCTTCAGTGAAGTGGAGGGTTTCTTAGCCGACTGTTCCTTGACCAGAGCAGGCGGCTTCTGGTTGATCAACTCTTGAATTTCTCCCTTGAAGTCCTTCATGAAGGTCATGAGTTCGTTCCTTGTGATGGGAGCAGATCCATCAGTCGGCTGCTGCCGAACAGGCGGTGCGCCTGCTGGCTCTCTTCCTGTTTGAAGATGTTCCCGTTCCCTCCTTTCGGTATGACGGGTACGTCGGGCCCTTAGGGTCCCGTCTGAAGCTGTGTGAGCTTCAACTTCAAATTCACTCTCAGTATCGTGGTCCGACTGAACTTGAGGGTCGTCTAGGGGACGCCTCTCTTCAGGAGTCGGTACAGACTTGGATGCCATCTCAGAAGTACTCTCCCCACAGACAGCGCCAAATGTTTCGGGGTTTTCTGATGTCCTGCGGGAGAGTTACAATACCGAGACTAGAACCGGACGCCTGTACCTGCAAAACAACGGAGACTCCTGGTGGTGGGAGCTCCGCCTCCAACGGTCAAGTTAGTACTTGATTATGGAGTAATTAATGCGGAAATTAAAGTGATTGGGTCTCTCTAGGTGAGAGTGTTTAATGTGAGTTTTTAGCGTAATCAGCCTGTAACTCTGTGTGTAATCTCTGTGTTTTTTCGTAATCCCCCCTTAATGAGGATTAAGGGAGGTATTTATAACCTTGGGAAACATGCCAATCCTAGGTTTAGGTTAACCTAGGGCTGATTGGGCTTCCCTCGGTAGTTGGGCCTGGGTGGCCGGTTTCTCCATTAGGCATGGAGTATGCCACGAGTCATGACATAATAGGTCCAAGGTGGACGAATAAGCGTGTGCCACGTGGCATGCCCTGACAGTTCCATCTGGGGGACACTTGGCAGGACCTGATTGGCCCACGTGGCGCATTCCGATTGGTGGGAGCAAAATCCCCTAATCATATATGTTGTCTCTCATGGTTCCCACTCAAATCCACTTATTTTCTTTATCATTTATTTCCCTCTTACATCCCTTACTTTTTAATAAAATACTAACTCCAGTACTCCACCATCTTATTATAAATTTTTATACAAATTATTATTTAAGGCGAACTTACGTTAAATTATTATAAGACGGGCAAAAGTAATCTTAAAATTTATCCTTATATACTATAAAAGTTACCATTTCCTAACATAAATTTTACTTTTAGAAAAGCACTTATAATATATTAGATTAATAATATTAAATTTTATAACATGTATTTATTATAAAATACCACTAGTAGAAAAAACATCTTTTTACCTCATCAAAAATTCTCCGATCAATTAGAAAAACGGAGCTTATTAAGCATAATTCCGCGCTTAAATTAAAAAACAGAGAGGAAATGCCCGGTTAAAAATAAAAACGGAGCATTAACTTTAATATACTCCGTTCCTTAAAAAACCCGGAGTGTAATACTCCGGTGTTTTTAACCAAAGCATTTTGAAATGTGAAATGCCTCCAAAAAATAAGTTAGGGCTCAAAAGATTCCATTCATTCTCGTTCTCTCTTCTCCCTCTAACAACCTCTAATGTACTGTACTCTCCTCAATTCAATCCTCTTCTCGCCGCCGGAAAAGAAAATCATCTAGGTCGCCGCTGGTGCTGCCATCTTTCTTCTCGCCGGTGCTACTCTTCTTTCTTCCTCACCTTAGCATCGTTGGTTTAACTCGTCCCCAATTGTCTTCTTCGTTCTTCCGACAATCTTAGCCGAATCTGGATTCTTCGTTCGTGGTGCTGGGTTCTGGTGGATGGGAGTTGTAGGTGGGTGGTTGTCGTAAGTGGGTGTTCGTGGGACTGGCTTCTGGTGGGTGGGGGTTATAGTGGGTTATGGTTCTGGGCGCTTGAAGTCGGAAAAGAAGCTCAATTCAACCCTCTTCCTCACCGCCGGAAGCTCCTTTAGGTCGCCGACGGTTCCTCATCTCCCCCGATCATGTAAGTCCTTCAATTTCCCCTTTTTTTCTTCTATTTTTTTTTTTCTAAAATATAATCTTCATCTAATTACTTTCTCAATTTGCTACTTGATTTCAGCGGTTAAATGTTGTTTCCAAGTTGAATTTGTGTTCTCGCTGCCGGAATCTGCCATTGACGCCTCCTCTTACATGCTTTTTCAACCTTTAATTTGACAGCTTGGTCCTTCAATTCGATAGACTACAAGGTGATTTTTTACTATTTTTTTTTTAATTTTTTTCTGGAATTTAATTGTTTGGAGTACTTTCACTTGGACAGATTTGGGGCCTTCAATGTGGGATTTTTTTTGTTGTTGTTTAAAGTTCTAATGTGATATATACTGCTTAATGTTTTAAGTTTTTTTTCTGTTTTTTTTTTTTTTTTTTGTTTTTTTTTTTCTGTTTTGATAGAATCAAATATATACCATTAAAAGAAATGAACTCTTCGTATATGATCTGCCAGTGATTAAAAAAAGAACAATAAATTCATAATGACATTTCTTTATCAATTCTAAAGACGTCAATGTTCATACAAGCAGATAGATAATTTCATTTTCTTCCAATGCTTCACCCCTGAGTTTGTTTTTATGAAATTTACAAAATAGAAACTGACCTTGACCTCCTTTCATTAGATTTCATGGTGAATAACTTAATAGATGCTATACTTCGTGTCAGGCTATATAAACAAATACTTTACGAGGGCTTCAAGAGTTAATTATTTAACAGTATATATGCAAAAAAGTACAATTTTATTAGATGCAACTCTAACTGATGTAATCTTCATGAAATGTAGCAGAATACCCTGAGCGTCTAATTTGACTAAATTTTTATTTTTTCCAAAGCCAAAAAAAAAAAAAAAAAAGGTCACACACTCAAACAGCTTCATTTGTTTATACATAGTCATTGAAAATTAGGTATATTAATGTCACATATATATAGCTGTGACCTCCTGGATTGAAGCATACTTCGTAGTATCAGTTATAAGAGGGAGTATTACATCACTAATTATGCTTAAAAAAATCTTCGACATATTTTAATTCTAAGGAGGATCAAAAGAGTAATGTAGAGTAAAAAAGAGTAACGCAGAGTAAAATTCTATCACAAAGAATAATGGCATCAAGACACGACGTTCATAACAATCATTCATACACAAGGCAAAGTTCATGCAGAGATACCTTTCGACTAACTATCTTCTTTTTTCACCTTATCTTCTATGTAATCTAAAATTGTAATTCTGATTTGCAACTTTAAAAAGTATATGGTTGTTTTGCATGTTGTGATTTTCAATTCGATTTTATACAAATTTGATGAAATGTAAATTTGATTATGTTATTTATCTTGTTATTCATTAGGCCCACTAACTAACCTAATTGTATATATTTTATGATTTATGACTACATACATAATTCATTTTGCTAACAAGTGTTAACATTTGATTTTGTTTTAGATCCCTTTGTGTTTTGCTTTTGACGGAATATAGAGTTCAATTTTCATAGAAGCGGATATTTTGGTATGTATTTTTAACATTTTCCTTTTATTTTCTTCCTATTTAGTTTCTCTAGTACATTAACCGTAATACATTATGAAATTTATCTAAATAAATTGTTTGAAATGTATTAACTAATTAATCATTTGCATTATCATGTGCCTAAATACCCGTTCAAGACATACTCATTAGGAGTATGTTTTGAATAGTCCCCAGTTGGGACTGTTCTTAGACATTTAATCTCACTTAGGTGGTGAATGTACGCCTTATTTTTTTATTCTAAGGAATATCTTGGCTTTTTATTTCCCTAAATTGTTCTCTGGGTACATATGTAGGTAAGCAATTGCCTACATTGTGTACTTGGGGAAATGTAGGGAAATGCATGTATGTGATTAGATGTCTAAGGATGGGTTAGGTTGGAGTGATAATGACCCTTAGAAAGCATGCATTTTATTTAGTATGGTGCCTAAATTCTAAATTACCATATGACCATTGAATAATTATAAATGAGTGACAATTTGTTATTATGTGTATGTGTTCAATTAGTGTTCTTGTGGAGTTATTTTGGATTGAGATGGATAGTAGACGTGACACTTGGGAATTCAGATTTGGGGTTGAGAAATATTGTTGTACTACTTTAGACTATCAGAAGCGAACCAAAAGCGAAAGGATTTATTATCCTTGTTTTAAATGTTGCAATGTGAATCTGGTTAGTGATATTAACTTTTTTAGGGAGCACTTATTTTTCCATGGTTTTAAACCTCTTTACCACTTATGGATTTGGCACGGTGAGGAAGGAGAATATTTAGGGAACTCAAATGTGAAACTTGTGCATGAACAAGAAGATATAGCTAAGGACGTTGAGGAAATTAATTGTGATGATGAATTTAAGTATCACATTGATGATAATCACATGGATGATGATGATGATGATGATGATGATGATGATGATGATGATGATGATGATGATGATGATGATGACGATGACAATGAAGTGGATCATGTGGATGAGCTATTGGAGGGGGTGGAGGATGAGGTTAGAAAACGACCTCGTATTTCTGAGATGTTGTCAAATGCGGCTAAAAAAACCACTTTACCCCGGTTGTACTAAGTACCAAAGCTCTCTGCCGTCCTAACTTTGTTTAAAATCAAATCAAACATGGTTGGACAGACATTAGTTTCACTTCCTTGTCAGAAGCGTTAAGTGAGATGCTAACGGATGGTAATGAACTTCCTAAATCGAATTACTATGCTAAGAAACTAATGTGCCCATTTGGCCTAGAATACAAGAAGATACATGCTTGTCTGAATGATTGTGTCCTATATCAAAAAGAAAATGAAAATTTGGATGCATGTCCGCGTTGTGGGAAATCTCGTCACAAGCGCTTAGGAAGTGATGGTAAGAAAGGGCTTCTGGCTAAGGTATTGTGGTATCTTCCTATCACACCAAGATTGAAGTGCTTGTTTTCAAAAAAAAAAAAGATGCGGAGAATTTGAGATGGCATGCAAAAGGAAGGAAGAAGAACGGTATACTTAAGCATCCTGCGGATTCTCCTTAGTGGAAGAGTATCAATATGTTGCATAAGACATTTGGTGATGATGATCGAAATTTGAGACTTGGACTTTGTACGAATGGGATGAATCCATTTGGTACTCTTAGCTCTCAACATAGTACATGGCCAGTGCTATTAGTGGTGTATAATCTCCCTCTGTGGCTATGCATAAAACGCAAGTACATTATGTTTTCACTTCTTATATGTCTACCTTGAACCTCTAGTTGATGATTTGAGAAAGTTGTGGGACGAAGGGGTTTCTGTGTATGATGCTTATGCCAATGAGTGGTTCACATTACGGCCAATGCTTTTTTGCGCCGTGAATGATTTTCCTACATATGGTAACTTGTCAAGTTACAAGAATAAAGGAGCGAAAGCATGTCCCATTTGTATGGATGGCACGTAGACCATTATCTGGGAAAGAGGTTTATGAGCAAGTTAAGGGAATAAAGTGTGTTTTTGGTAAATTTGGGAAAGACTCGAACGAGAATGATCTTTAGAAAAAGGAATCAATTTTTTGGAAGCTTTCATACTAGAAGGATCTAGATGTTCGTCATTGTGTTGATGTCATGCACATAGAAAAGAATGTGTGTGAAGCCATTCTTGACACCCTTATGAATATTAAGAAGAAGACGAAGGATAGCTAAGGTGTGCGACAATACTTGAAAAAGAAAGGGCTTCGACCAGAACTTTGGCCTCAAAAAAGCGATAGTAGGAAGAGAAAGGAAACGGAAATGTCTATTAGCAAGAAAAAGTGGAAGAGTAAGGGTAATGAGGTTGAAGATGACACCGACAAGAACTACTTACCACCAGCTTGCTACACTTTGTCCACAACAGAGAAACGAGGCTTTTGTGAGTGTTTGCATGGCATTAAGGTTCCATCGGGGTACTCATCAAATATGAAGAGGTTTGTGTCATTGAATGGTGAGTTGAAGATAGGGAATATAAAGTCACATGATTGTCATGTCATGATGCAATTGTTCCTACCAATTGCACTCCGTGGGATATTACCAAAGCACGTGAGATATGCGATCACTGAACTATGTTCTTTTTGCCATACAATATGCAGTATAGTGCTTGATCCTTCTACACTTGATGCACTTCAGAGTGGCAATTGTTGAAACTTTCTACAAGTTTGAGATGTACTTCCCACCTTCTTTCTTTGACATAATGGTTCACATCGTTGTACATTTGGTTCGAGAGATTAAGATATGCGGTCCGGTATTTTTGAGGTGGCGTTATCCTTTTGAAAGCCATATGGGTTCTTTACAAGATAAAGTAAGGAATCCGGCACAACCAGAGGCTAGCATAATTCAAGGTACTGTGGCCGAAGAGGTTGGTAATTTTATAGCTGAGTACTTAGCAAGTGTTCAACCAATAGGACTTCTGATATCTTGACATGAGGGAAGGCTTGCAAGTAAGGGCATAATTGGCTCGAAATTGATAACACCTCTTACAGCCAAGCGCCTACAGGCACATTTATTTGTCTTGCATATCATTTTGTCCGTACATCCATACTTGGATGAGCACATGGCAGAATTGCGTGGTAAAAACCCTGGGTCAAGTACTTGGGAGTTGACGAAGCTACACAATAAGCAGTTCATTAACTGGTTTCATGATCGAATAATGTGTTGTCGAGATGATAATGTGTCTGAAACAGTTAAGTGACTAGCATATGGTCCACGTGAAGTTGTTCAATCATATGATGTCAATGGGTTTACATTTTGGACCGAACATCAAGATCAGAAGTCGTTATCGGTGCAAAATAGTGGTGTTTCTCTTGAAGCCTCATCTACAGAGAATGCAAGTGCCAAAGATAAATCTCCTGTTGAAGCTTTATTGTCATACTATGGGAGAATTCAAGACATGTGGGAGCTTGACTATTGTGGATTTAAGGTTGGTCTTTTACGGTGTAAGTGGGTTGAAAACATTCGACGATGCATTAAAACAGATGACCCGTGTGGATTCACTCTTGTTGACATGGGTCGGATGCGTGAAACTGAAGAGCCATTTATACTTGCAACACAAGCTAAACAAGTATCCTATGTGACCGATCCTGCTGACAAAAAGTGGTCTATTGCTATACCGGGAAAAAGAAGTATTCTTAGAGTTAGTGATGTTGAGGATGAAGAATATTATGATGCCTTCGAGGATACACCACCTTTCATAATTCTAGAGAAGTTAAGAATGACAATGTGGAAGAAGAGACATGTTATATGCGTGTAGATCACACTGAAGGAATACATTGGGACCCTTAAATCACATGTAAGTAATGATGATTGTCCCAAATGCATATAAAAATGTCTAGATCATGTTAGTTTGTGTCATATTTATCATGAAATTAAGTTTAGTTTCATATAAAAGGTTACCTATATAAATTAAGTAGATATAAGTAGTTACCTATGGTATATTATGTTTAGCTTTGTTTACTCGGTAATGAAATTGTGTTTATTACATATATATTGATTACACTATTGGTACATAATTGCATGTCACCTTAATTAAGGGTGATACGATGATATGCACGATGATATCGAGGATGAAGATGATGTTTCAGGTGATACCTCCGATGATGACAAAGAGTATGATGTTGAAGCAGAGGTGGATAAAGGTGATCCGGATGAGGTGGAATATGATGAGTTTCTTGATAGGACGGAGATGTTTGAGAATGAGGCTGATCAAGCTCCCCCAATCGAACATCAAGTGGTGGAAGAAAGTCCTAATAAGCAACCAGAAATTCAACAAGGTATCACAAGCAAAATTGACAAAGGATCCTTGAAAAGAAAGAGAGGAAGGGGTCCGACAAAGGGTCTTAGAGTCACTGAACCAATGTACCTTGAGTATGATAGTTTAGGTGAACCATGTGGAAGGTGGCGCACGCAATATGGGAATCAGCTTGGAATTTGTATGCGTAAGATTCCCATCACGTATGATTGGAATGATGTGCCACCTGATATGCTGACATTCATTAGTATATTAAATCATATATATTCTGGTTAACTTTTTTGTTTTCTTATTTTTGTTTTAAATTTGTGCAGACTCATTTTCATCTGGAAGATGATGAAGCTAAGAAAAAAGTTTTCCTTTGTGTCGTTCGTGATAGATTCAGAGATTTTAAGGCCAAGTTAGTGAGTGGTTGGATCACTAAAACAAGACCGAGAACAGTGGCCCAAAAGAAGAAGGCAAAGAAAGAAAAAGAAAAGGGGAAAGAAGTTAGGCAAGAAGATGGAGTTGCGGAGAAGGAGAATGAGAATGGGGAAGAGAAAGAGATGATGCCTTAGGAGATTTGGCCTCATATCACTGAAGATGACTAGAAGGACTTTGTTGCTTTCAAAAACAGTGACACCGGAGTTGTAAGTGTTCAAATTTATATTCAATTACTTTTTGTGCTTGTACTAACTACATATTTTCAAGATTTTCTACGTCTTTAAATGTTATTTGACTTCTAATAATCTAAATAGTATGTTAGTAATATGTTTTGTGATTGTATAGGCAAAGCGTGAGAAGAATAAGAAAGTTTCGTTGAAGAAGAAGCACTATCATCGTATGGGTCCTAAAACCTTTAATGAGTGCAGAAATGAGTGGATTGAAAACGGTCTTTACCCAAAATTTTCGGATGGCTCCACAGTTACGACTGCTAAGATTACTCATGCTGCAGATTGGTTTTGTTCGATGTATGGTAAAAATGCGAAGGGAGAGAGAGTTATTCCAAATGCTGAAACGCATAAAGTCGCTGCTAAAGTTGTAAGTATAATATTTTGCAACGTGTAATTATTAAACATTAAATATTATATATAAGTTGTTTGGGGTAAAATTACCCCAGCCACGTGGCCCAATGGCAGCGCGACACGTGGCATTTTGCTATTGGTCAGCAGGGCTCCAATCCCCTGCTGACACGTGTCCTAGGACCCTAAATGGGGAACCAATGCTCCCCACTATAAATAGTGGGAGAGTCCTCATTAATGGGGCATTCAATTCCTTCCAAAAGAAGTCACTTACAATCAATTGGCATTCAATACTATCATAAATACATTTTACACTAAAATCGAGCAATCTGAATTGCGGAATTCTTCCATTACGCGAGAAGTAATTACTCTTTTACGCACTTTCTTCCTCCCGTACATCACTGACTTGATCGTCGGAGGCGGAGCTCCACCTAACCGGAGTCTTTGTGGTTTTGCAGGTACAGGCGGTCGAAGGGCATTCTTGGAATTGTAACTCTCCCGCAGGACACATCAAAAAACCCCGAAACATTTTGCATCGTCTGTGGGGAGAGTACTTCTGAGATGGCTTCTAACCCTGTACCACCGGATCAGGACAGGCGGCCATCGGGTGAGCCTGAGGTCCAGACGGACCATGAAAGCGGTGATGAGTACGACCTCAACACCTATGTGGCCCCAGACGGGTCCTTCAGAACAAAGCACACCTGTTCCAAGGATAAGAAGGAACGGGAAAACATCCAAGCTGCTTCAAGCAACCCAGCCGGCAACACGGTTGGGCTGCCCAGGCAGCAGAGGATTCTGCTCCCGGTACTAGGAACGAACTCATGACCTTCATGAATAGTTTCAAGGGCGAGATTCAGAACCTCATCCGGTCAGCTACTCCCAAGAAGAGTTAGCCGGCCAAGAAGCCTTCTTCTAGCAAGAAGGCTATTAAAGACCGGGTCCCTACCCCTCATCCAAAGCCGAAGGAGGGGGAGGGCCTCAAGTTCGATCAAAACCGGCTCCGCTTCCCGCAAGCGGAACCCAGAAAACCCATCCGGCATTTGCAGCCGGATGGTTCAAAAAAGATATTCTCTGACGCCCGGACATTTCTCCAAGAAAAGAGAAGTCTGGCGTCTGCGTCGGCTTCAACGTCGACCTTTCCAGACAGTTTCCGTGACACCTCTAACAGGCGTACGGGAACAAGTCTAGGGAGTCAGACGGGCGAACCATCCGCCCGGTCTGGACCCAAAGTGATCCAACTGGTCTGTTCGGTTCGCCGAATGGGCTGGGTGGATCGCCTTTTACCCAAACGGGTCCGTTTGGCAGAAATGTGCAGCAGCCGTTCCAACTCATGGATTGGCAGCAGCGCCTGCTAAATCTGGGAGAACAGCCCTCGGCGTTCTCCCCTGAGATCACCCAGGCGGCACAGCCGGCCAAGATCAAAAACGTGTTGGTAGGGGCCTATAATGGTACCTCCAACCCAGAAGATCATTTAATGGCTTATTCCAACCTCATGTACCTACAGGGGTTGGATGATGCCGTCTGGTGCCGATGCTTCACGGCTACCCTGAAGGGCATTGCCCAACGATGGTTTGGTAACTTACCAGCCGGCTGCATCAACAACTTCAAGACCTTGGCGTACTTGTTTACGTCAAACTTCTCAATGAACATCCCGGCTAAAAAGACAAGCCTCGATCTGGGGGCAATACAACAGGGTGACAGAGAAGGACTCCGGTCGTATGTCAGGCGGTTCAATCTGATGAGAATTCAGATTCAAGGACTGTCTGATGAGGTTGCTTACACAGACTTCTTTAAAGGTCTGAAGGATGGGTCGACTTTCAAGTTTGACCTCGTCCGGAAAAGGGTAGCCACCCTCCAAGAGGCGTTAATGGAAGCTGAAGCCTACATACAGGCGACGGAGCTTTGTGCTGTAAAGCAGCCATCGGATTTCAAAAAATCTGACAGAAGAGACAGCCGGCAACAACAACAGCAGCCGGCTAAAAAGGAAGAAAAGAAGAGAAAGGAGGTTTAGGCGGCAGACCGATCTGGTCAGCCGGCTCAGAAGCTCAGACGGAAATCTGAACCGTACGTCCCTAAGTACGAGTTCACAAAGGACTGCTCCTCCATCCTCATGGAGATCAAGGACAGAATGTCTCTCGACAAGCCGGCTGTTATGAAAAGTCCCGTAGGCAGCCAGGACAAAAGCAAATACTGCCAGTACCATGAGGATGTTGGCCATGACACTAATGGTTGCTATAGCCTCAGGCGGCTATTAGACCGTCTGGCCGATGAAGGGGCTCTTAAGTCTTATCTGCCAAAGCCAAGGACAACACTCTGGCCAAGAAAGGGCAGGCGGCAAAAGCTGTTCTTGCAAATTCAGAAACGGATGAAGAGACTATCTTTACAATAGCAGGAAGCTGGTTAACTCAGTTGAGGAGACCCAGGCGTCGAAAGACATATTTCCTGAGGTCCTAATAGATACCGGGAGCTCGTCTGACCTAATCAGCTATCAGTGCTTGACCAAGCTCAAGTACAAATCCAGTAGCATGCACCAGGCGCCCCACCCGCTTGTTGGTTTTGGGGGAGGTGTAGTGCATCCGGTAGGGAGTATAGATCTTCCCATCCGACTGGGTGAAAAGGGGGAAGGACGCCACATGGTAATCAAATTCCTGGTTGTAGAAGAGCTTGCCGCCTACAACATGATTTTTGGCCGTCCGACCCTCAATGAATCAAAGGCTGTCATCGTTCCCTCTCTCATGCTTGTCAAATTTGAAAGGAATGATGGAACAATCGGTTCCCTCAAGGGGGACCAGAGGACGGCTAGGGAGTGCTATCTCTCTGACGTCAGACCTACTATGGGGGCAGCCGGCGACGGCAACCCCGTAGACCTTGATAACTGCGATGCAGCAGTCCCGGCTCTAAGGGCAGCCGGTAAGAAAAGAAAGGCGGGCCAGACGGACCCCGTTAAACAAGAAAAATAGTAATCACTAGCCGGGGAAAGGTCAGATGATCAACGACCTCAGCCGGCTGGTGACTGCATTGATGTCGTCCTCGACGACAGCCGTCCTGATAGAACTTTCAAGGTTGGGACGGTCGCTTATGAACAGTTGGGAGCAGACCTGCTCCAACTTCTAAGAGAATTCAAAGACATCTTTGCCTTTGAAGTGGAAGAGATGCCAGGCGTCAGCCCGGATCTAGTTGTCCACAAGCTTGCCGTGGACTCTAAAAAGAAGCCGGTCAGGCAGAAAAAGAGGGATCACGGTGAAGAGAGATCTCAGGTGGCAGCGACTGAGGTCAAAAAATTGTTAGATGCTGGGTTCATCCGGCAATGCTACTACCCGGATTGGGTAGCAAACGTTGTCCTCGTGAAAAAGCCGAATGGTACCTGGCGGATGTGTGTAGACTACACAGATCTGAACAGAGCATGCCCAAAGGACAGTTACCCGCTTCCAAAGATCGACAATCTGGTCGACTCTACAGCCAGTCATGCTCTGATGAGTTTCATGGATGCCTACTCAGGTTTCCACCAAATACCCCTATGGAAAAAAGATCAAGAGAAGACGACCTTCGTCACTGATCCGGGGTTATTTTGTTACAAGGTGATGCCGTTTGGGTTAAAGAATGCACCGGCTACATTCCAGCGCATGATAAACACTGTTTTCATCAATCAGATTGGCAGGAATGTAGAGGCGTACATTGATGACATGATAGTCAAATCCAAGCTACAGACGGATCACCTACTGGACCTCCGAGAAACATTCACCACACTCAAGCGGCACCGGGTCATGCTTAACCCAAAGAAGTGTGTATTTGGTGTTGAGTCTGGGAAGTTCCTCGGATTTTTGATCGATCAAAGGGGCGTAGAGGCTAATCCGGAAAAAGTGCAGGCAGTCATTGACATGCGTTCTCCCCGCACTTTGAAAGAAGCCCAGAAATTGACCGGATGCCTGGCGGCGTTGGGAAGATTTCTCAGCCGGTCAGGTGACAAGTGCCTCTACTTCTTCCAGGCCATCCGGAAGAGGTCCAGATTTGAGTGGGGTGAAGAGGCGGAAATGGCATTCCAGAGGCTAAAGCAACATCTGCATTCGTTGCCAAGGCTAGTGAGCCCCCTGCCCCCGGAAGGTTCTTTACATGTACCTTGCCGTCTCTGATCATGCCCTTAGTGCCGTTCTCCTCGCTGAGAGAGACGGTAATCAGCTACCGGTGTATTTCATCAGCCACGTGCTTAAGAATGCTGAACTCCGGTACCCCATGATCGAAAAATTTGGGTTGGCCCTGTTCGTCGCAGTCAAACGGTTGAAACCCTACTTTTTGGCTCACCCGGTGATTGTATATACAGACCAGCCGCTCAAGCGCCCAATGACCACCATCGAGTCATCCGGCAGAATGATCAAGTGGGCTGTTGAAATACAGAGCCTTGAGATAACTTTTGAACCCAGGCGGGCAGTGAAAGGTCAGGCGTTTGCCGACTTCATTGTCGAGATGACTAGGCCGGTGCAACTGGAAAATCCTGATCAGGTTTGGAAGTTATTCGTAGACGGTAGCTCTACGGTGAACGGCTGTGGTGCAGGCGTTATATGTCATTCTCCGGAAGGGGATAAGTTTGAGTATGCACTACGGTTCCAGTTCCAAGCCTCTAATAATGAGGCGGAGTATGAAGCCCTGCTAGCCGGTATACGCATGTGTAAGGTAGCAAGGGCAACAAAGATTGCCGCCTGCTCAGACTCTCAACTGATTTTTACTAGTACAATGGTGACTACGAGGCCACCCATCCGGCTATGATCAAATATCAGCTGGCGGTAAGAGAGGAGGCCGTGTCACTTGACAAGTTTCATCTAAGTTAGGTGCCCCGGTCCGAGAATAATCAGGCGGATGCCCTTTCCAAGTTGGCATCATCCGCTTCCTGCGATGCACCTAGAACGGTTTTTTGGGAAGTCATTGAGAAACGAAGCATTGATCATGACCCCATTGGTATCCTGGACTGAAGTGCCACCTGGATGGATCCCATCCAGGATTACTTGGCAAACGACACCTTACCGG